TAGTTCCTCCTTCAGCTGGTACTTCTCCAGCTTCTCATACTCCTTCTTCCTGATCTTGCTATCACTTGGCACCACTACATCTATCACCACTGCTGTCTTCTGGTCCTTGACTACTACCATGATGTCTGGTTGATTGGCCAGTACCTGCCTGTCCATCTAGATCTGGAAACCCCACAGGATCTTAGCCCTGTTATTCTCCATGACCTTCTGTGGAACATCCCATCTAGATTTGGGAGGGTCTAGCCCATACACTGTGCAGATATTCCTGTACACAATGCCAGCTGCTTGGTTGTGCCATTCAGTGTATTTGTGCCATATACTGTTCCTGCCTGCATCTTGCACCCTGCCACTATGTGTTGGGCTGTGTCTGAGGCCTCTCTGCACAGTCTGCACCTTGGGTGCTGTCTGTGGTGGTAGATCCTTGCTTTTATGGATCTGGTGCTTAGTGCCTGTTCTTGTGCTGCTATGATCAGTGCCTCAGTGCTGCCTTTTAGTCCAGCCCTTTCCAGCCACTGGTAGGATTTCCCAATGCCAGCCACCTCAGCTATCTGTCGCTGGTACATCCCATGTAGGGTCTTGCCCTGCCATGGCACTTCCTCTGCTTGAACTTCCTCCCATGTTTGCTGCTGCCTCAGGCCTTCTCTCAGCAGATCGTCTTTGGGTGCCATCTTACTGATGTACTCCTGGATGATCTGGGGTTCATCCAGGATAGTGGCTTTGACATTCACCAGATCCCACCCACCCTCTTTCTGGCTGGTGTACAGTTTCTGGGTGTTGGACTTGGGGTGGAAACCTCCATACATTGTGAGAAGCTTCTGGGTCTTCATATCGGCAACCTCTATGTCCTCCTTTGGCCAGCTCACTGTACTGGCAGGGTGTCTGATGGCTGACAGGGTATATATGTTGATGGCATGGATCTTGTTCTTCCCATTGAGCTGTAGGGGTGTTTTATGATCAGCACTGTCCTTCCTTGTGTTAGCCAGTCTGGGTGGGAGCCTGCTGCTAACAGTTGGTTCATCTGTGCTGCTAGATGTTCATGCACTGCTGTTAGTTTCTTTAGCCAGTAAGTGTAGATCATGTCTGGGCCCAGTGCTGTCCAGCTCTTCATGTTCTTGACCTACTGTTGGATGTCTTTTACTGTGATGGTAACTCATTCCTGTTCTGGGAGATTGCTGTGGTCTGCTCTCAGATCCTGCAGCCACTTTGCACTAGTGTTATGTGTCTTCTCTTTCTCCCATATATTCTTCCAGTGCTATTCAGTTTCTCTGTTGGTGGCTGTGTTGTTATTGTGCCGTTGCACTGAAGTTGGGAGTACACCTTGGATGGTTCTTTGGAGAAGAGAGCATTTATCTTCTTGGCCTCTGCTTCTCTAGTGTATCTCCTTAGCCTGAGAGCCTTTGTTTAGCAGTCTCTGGGAATTAAGATTGAGTCAGGCCCTTGTATTTTTTCAGTAGCTGAGTCTTATCCTTAATTTTCACACCCTTCTGTAGTTCCACCAGCTGACTAACTTCTCTCTGAGTTGCCTTGAACTTAGCCTCCAACCTCATTTTCTGGGGGGTGGGGTATGTACTGCTGTTCTTGATTGTGTAGCGAAGCATCTCCAGGATTACAGCAGCTGTAGCATATACCAGTTCATTGATTTGAGTTATGGTAGTAGTAGAGATTGTTGTGAGGGTTTTATTGGCATCTTCTAGCATACTGTCTGATGGTACTTCTCCACAGTCTCAAGGGTTGACTGTAGCTAGTTTATCCATGATTTTATGCCTCATATCAGCTGCTGTGCTCTGCAATGGAAGGGGTGGCAGTGACATTCCAGCTTCAGGTGTTAGCTGCACATCTAATTGTTCTTCCAGGTGTGCATGAGTCCGGGTTGTAGGTTTTATTGGCATCTTCTAGCATACTGTCTGATGGTACTTCTCCACAGTCTCAAGGGTTGACTGTAGCTAGTTTATCCATGATTTTATGCCTCATATCAGCTGCTGTGCTCTGCAATGGAAGGGGTGGCAGTGACATTCCAGCTTCAGGTGTTAGCTGCACATCTAATTGTTCTTCCAGGTGTGCATGAGTCCGGGTTGTAATGTGGAGTTGGTCTATCTGTCCATAGCTCCCTCATGTTTCATATATTCTCTCTCTTTAGGTCTACTGTTGTAGTACCATTCCATCAGTTCCAGGTTCTCTTGTCCCTTGTATGATTTGTTCCAGTAGCCCACTTATTGTCACATTATCCTGGTTCCCCAACATCTGACGCAGAACTTGTTAATCCAGGTGACATCTGAGCTGTCATGACTTTCTTAGTTTGTGTCACT